TACCGTGTAGGACACAAAATACCAGCTAGCGTCCAGCACGGTGATTAAATAGTGATGAAAAACAAACGTTTTCTAAAATAGCAAAAGAGAAAAAGACAAGGGATCAAAAAAAATGCTCTTCCTGCAACCCCTGTGAACGTCATGTTCCTTCTCTCTCAGTGCTTTCATTGGTGCGAGCGCCAGTTGGCCTGTTTGCCGATTTGGATGGCCAGGAGCGATTCAACCGTGTCGAGAAGACGCTGTGTTTGCGAGGCTGTGGTTTTACAGACACAGTGAAGGTGTTGATAGTGGGATGAGATTTACGTGGCTTTTTGGACGCCAAATTTACTTTCAATCGTTCGTCGTTTAGAACCATTTTGTGAAAATGCGCAAAATCGTCGCTTATCATGGATTCACTCTCCGTTGAGCCCTCCTTAAAGGCGTATGGTTGAGTTTTATCGAGTTGAGATTTTGTTGGTGATTTTTTAAGACGAAAGACTTCATAGGTGCTTTGTCGACGCATTTGAAAGGACTGACGGTTGTTTGTAGAAGCAGAATCTCTTGAAGATTCATTATCACAACTTATGGAGACACTGCGTTTGAAACGATCACGTTTAATTGTTGTGGCTGTAGTAGGCAGTGCTGGAATGGCCTTCCATTCTGATCTCTGAATTGATTTATGCTCCTGCGTTGTAGCCGAATCCAGTGGATTTCCACAGGTGGACACTTCTTCCAAAGGGGCTAGAGTTCGACACGCCTTCGGTACGCCTTTACTTGAACTTCGTCGGCGAAATGAGTCAATGGGGGATGCAGAGGCGGAGAGACAAGTTGGTGGAGCATAAACTTCTATGCTGACAAGTTTTTGGTGGCGATTATTTTGCACGGAATGCAATGGAGAGGTCTCCACACCCTTTGTCTCTTCTTCGTCTTTACACAGAGCTTCACCTTCAACGGTTGGGAGTGGTTCACACACCGTTACTGTTGGTGCAAGTGGAGAAATACGAAGAAGTGGTTGATCACTTTTACTGGTTGCAGAGCCACTGTCTTGCTGTTTCCCCGCATCCACCATGAAAGAACTCCTCGGAGTTTTATCATATAATGATGAAGGCAGCAGGCTAGTTCGTTTGGTGGAGCTCTCATTAATACTTAGTGTAGCACTTTCTCGATTCACGAAGGTAAAGCTTGCAGGGTCAAGGTGATGCAGACTGTGGTTCACTTGTTGGATGCCAAGTTGATTTTGTCCAACTTGATACTCGGAGAATTTAGGATCACCACCATAACCCTCCTTTTCTCCACTTGGGTAAGGCGGTGTTTTATCGTTTGTGGAGCATCTTTGCAAACGACGTGGGCGTTTGCTCGATGAGGTGGTTTTTGGTTCCACAATTTCCAATTTTCGTTTTGCATCAAATTTATTCTTCACTTGTTCACTGTGTTGATGAAATCCTGTACGAACAATGAATTGAAAACCACAGCAATGAATATTGTAAACTGGAGTGCCAAATACACTGCGGCGATACTTGCGAAAGGCTCGACTTTTAATGGAATTACGATCGGAGGTGATGTTGTCAGGAAATCCACGGAGACTGCCTCGCAGTCGTGTGACACTGAGGTTTCGAGTTCGCTGAAATCGTACAACCACCCTCTTCATGAGGAGCCGCATTGTGTCAGTCATGCACCCGTAGAGGCAAGGATTCAAGCAACCCGAACACATTGCCAAAAGCTTGAGAATGAGATCAATGATCTTTGCGTGACCACCAAGTAGGAGACGAGATTGAGGCACAATGTCTGAGATGTTGTACTTCCGTTCAAACGATCGAGTCGGTCGAATTGAGGCGTTGAGATCGTCGTGAAGTAAAATCAAATTGCTTTCATGCGAGGATGAGAGAATGGATTTTAAGCTAACTGCACCGCTTGCATTGCTCTGGGTTACTTCAAACAGTGGAAATACGTTAATGGGATTTCGCTTTTGTGCCCGATAAGCGTAGACTTCAAGAATGATGGAGAAAACATTCCATGGAGTCCAACAGATGAAAAAACAGATAACAATGGCAATGAGAATTTTGTTTGTACGTTTCTTCCTCTCCAAGTCTCGTTTACGAAAACGTCTTTCGTGAAGTCGAAAGTAAATTCTGGTGTAGAGAGTGGCAGTAAGGAGAAGAGGTAGAAAGAACTGTACAGTGAAAGTGAATATAGTGTAACAAAGTCGAATTTCTGGAGAAGGCCACTGTTCCACGCAATAGTGATACTCCATCGGTTCTCTCTGTCCATCCTCCAACCTGGTCACTGCCTGACTGCTCTTGTTGAAGATGGCTATGGGAATCACACTAATAACACTGATGACAGCTATTGCAAAGAGTGTGAGTGATGCCGAGCTCCGGGGCATACGTCTGTGCAGGGGATAGACAATAATATTGTACCGGTCAATGCCGATAACAAGAATAACGAGACAGGAGATGTGCATTGGAAGCCCGAATGTGGAGAAAACTAACTGACAGGCAAGGTTAGAGAAGTATACACGCTCCTGCATTTCGTAGTAGGCTTGCATGGGCATATTGAAGCCCGACATGAAGATATCCGAGATGGCGAGAGCAAGAACAAAGCGATTTGTGATATTGCGAAGCGACTTGGGATGCCATATAAGGAGGAAGAAGACGACAGCTGCATTGGTTGTCACACCGATTACAGCAAAGAGAGCGTAAAGGAGGATGAGCAGGACGCGCACCCATACAATACGATGCGAACTGAAGTAGGCGTCACCGTAAATGGAATAGAGAAGGTCACCTGGAAAGATGCTTCTATTCTGCAGACTAGGAAGAATTTCGGCGGAGAGGAGATCTGAGAAATCTAGCATCCTTGTGAGTGGTTTGTAGCATGGATCTTGAGTACCATCAGGTTGCAGTGAAACCACCTTGCACAAAACTGAAACAAAAAAGTCGTTGTTATTGGCAAATACTTTGAATGGACGATGATTTCCTGTCTACTTTACTATGACGAATGGTAGCGCAATCTGTGCAATCTGAGGAAGTGGAGTGACAAGGAGGCCAAAGGATCTTGCCAAATACTTAGGTAGGGGAAAATGAGGAGGTTAACAAAGGTGTGGCGTTAAAGCGTTCGAGAAGAAGGCAATTGAAATGACTTCCCGTCTACCTCGTTGTGTAAACGCTATTGTCACTCTGTTAAGGTTGAGTTTTCTGTGTTTTGGAGACGATTTTTTTACACCACAATCATGCAGAAGACTTGTGAGGCTGCACTAGAGCTAGCACAAAGCAAATGCAATCTGATTTTGATTGATAGATGCTAAATCTCCTCTTGACGGAGGGGAAGAATGCGCTGCTATTAGACGAATTAGGCGAGTCCTCAAACCACAAGGCCAATACTGATGTCAAGCGTTGACAACTGCTCCAATTTCCCTATTTTTCAGAAAATGCTTAAACCGAATGAAATGACACTACTTGTAATCCACCCCGAATAGTTCATCATGGCGATGAGAAAGAAGGAAAGGGAGAGGAATCGCCTCCATTCTTCTGTTAGATGAATAGGACGTTGACGGTTACGATTAAAATGAATGGAAGGAAAAAGTGCAAGACCTCATCGTCGTCTTCTTCCCTTTTCATTGCTGCATAAAAGATGGATAGCACATGTCCCCACAGGAGCCATGGAAACCTCTGGAGGATTTTGGTGGTCTTAAGGCTAAATATCTTTTCAGGTAGGCACAAACATGAAAAGTGGTGGTGGAATTGAGTGTTCCATCGTTGCTTAAAATGAGTGTTGCTAGATTTGTCGTCCATTTGGGTTTTAGAACATCAGAAAGGCATGCCCGTTGTGTTGTGTGACGTTGAAGTGATGTTCTTCCCCGTCCTCCGAGGAGTTTCTTGATCCTGCACTACTTTTCACCTCTACAAATTTGCATGCAATTTTGTGCACACTAAGTAGAGGAAAGCGAAGGAGACCGACTTTTGGCCAAGTGTCCACTCTGCAATTTTAATTTTCCCAACCACGGGAGGTAGGCGTAGGCTATGACTTTTTGACTACTAAGAAGAAGGACATGAGACACGAATAATTTATAATAACTAGGCAATTACCGCGTCGTCTTTTGCCTCGTCCGATCCGATTTTTGGTTCGTTTTAAAGCCCATTGCCAGCACGATGACTAAGCCATTAGATAAATGAATTAAATTCCAAAAATTTGCACAACTTTTAGACACGAACATGTAAGTTTACAAGAACTACGATCGACTCTGCTAAGGGACTGCCCCGAGTCTGGCATCGACTGAGGGGACTTCAGTCGTCTCTTCTCAGTCGTGTATCAAAGCCACATCCGCTCGCCTTGACGTTTGAACAGAAAATCACTGCATTTACAAATGCAGAGAGTGTTGGGGTTTCCGTCGCGGCTAAAAAATCAAACTATCAGTTGGGGCAAAATGTTGCCGGACCAGACCACCAACTCGCATATGAGGAGGAATGGGGGAAAAGACTATTCATCCACATAGCAACAGCAAATCTCTAGAGCATTCCTATT